TGAAGGAACCATTTTCGACCCTATAAACCATATATATTCTTGATCAGCATTAAAAACAGAATCGATTTAGGTATTCCCAAAGAAAATAAAATTTTCAAAATTATTCCATATTTAAAAGTTTTATATCGTTAAGATTTTACAAATTTGACAAAAAAAAATTGAATTTTTAGAATGGTAAAATTTGGTATGCAGAATATAAGCTAATAAAACTAGCACAGAATTGCTTTCCGAATTAAATAAATGAATTTTTGGCTTAGTTATGATAGGTTTCCCAACGTCTCATGACCGAATCGCAAACTATAACATTCAATTAACAAACTTTACATTCATATTTCTTATATCTTAGATCTTTTACCATTTGGTTTAGTCTTGTACAGATTATACATTAAATATTAAGAAATTCATTAAGTTTCAATCTGTTTCTATCATAACAATAATACATATATGATAGAAATATGATTTCTAAATAGAGTTCACACTGTGGACATCTGGTGCCTTTGCTGTTGCTTTGCTGGCACTCATTAGAGAGAATGAACGGGATTCCTTGGCCGCTGGCCGTTGGCTGATTTCGTCACCAACTTGAGGGATGAGGATGCTGCCCCGAAGGTGTTTTCTATCACCTCTCCCCCCCACCAAAAAGCCCCTCTTTGTTGTTGTTGTTGCTTCATGTTGCACATTGCGCCTGTCGAGTGCCATTCATTTGCAGGCTGCCCCTGCCCCGCTTTTTTTTGTCGCCTCCTTGAGGTCATCGTGGCTTTCGTCACTTGCCTTGATGTTTGGGGGCACTTGGGGCTGCACAAAAAAAAGAGAGAGATAAAGAAAGAGATGAGAGATAGAGAAAAGAGAGTGAGAGAGATAGACAGAGAGGGAGAGGAAAGAGTGGGAAAATAAATTGCTTTAAGTGTATTTAACGTTGGATTTTTTTTGTGCTGAGCTTTAGTTATCTGACGGGTTAATGTCTGCTTTTAAGTCGGTAATTTCTTTGGTCTTAACAAATGTGTAAATTAAAGCTTAACTTTTTTAAATATATATGTATATTATTTATATAGAATTTAATAAAGCATGTTATCTGTAATCTGTCTTTAAATCGTTAATAAGCCTAGCATTTAATAGTTACTATTTAATGCATTTCATAGAGTGCATTAATAATTATTATTAACAAGAACGAAAAGTAACTTCGGGAAGCCAAAGTTTATATACCCTTAAATTTACAATTGAACTACAAGATCAAATCAAAAATCGACCAAAACCAAGCTTAAAATATTGGCATTCTTGGACTATTTCATAGTTTTTTTATATGACAATTTTTAAGACTATTCCAAATTTAAAAAACTCATAACTTAGCCAAAAAAGCATTAATTTTATTTCGGAAAGCTGTTCTGAGCTAGTTTTTAGTAGGTTTATAAATCTGCATACTAAATATAATTTAGATGCTTCAAATTTTAGTCCAATTTTTGTACATTTTTAATGATGTTACCCCTTATAAAATTTTGAAAAAATTTGAAAAAATATTTTTTTTGCGGCACAAAGCTAGATCGATTCAGTTTTTGATGCTGATCAAGAATATATATGGTTTATAGGGTCGGAAATGATTCCCTCCAAAGTTACAAGCTTTTGACTTTAATAGGGAATAAAATGAATAAAATAAATAAAATACTATTAATTATCAAATTAAATATCTGACAACGTATTAAGTGCCAAGCTTTACTTATTTCTATATTTTATTATCAGCTCTAACTCATAAATTACAAGCCTTAAACAGTTTCATAAATATTAAGCTAAAAGTGCCTTGTTTTTATTTATTCGAAATGTATTTTGTGCCGTGCTTTTGCTATCTTTTTATAGGTATCTCGAATGTCTGCCTTTAAGGCGTAACTTATTTGCGCTTTTGCCATTAAATAGTTGCATAAATATTCAGCTCAAAACGAGGCGTGCAAAATTAATAACACAAATTTTCCGAGCACGCACAAACAACTATGAGAGAGAGAGAGAGAAGTTCGCCTGACCGCAGAGATAACACGCATACGCCGTGGTGTACGTACGCATTGGTAAAGGGGACTCCCCTCCCCATTGTAATTTCAGCAGTTGTTTTTGCATTTCCTGTAATCGAGCATTTTCCGAACACACTCACACATTTACATACATAGTCGCGTTTGGGGTGGTGGGGAATTTTCTTTTGTGGCAAGAGAAAAGCGAGTATTGCAACTGACAAAATTCATAAATGAACATTTCCTTAATGGCTGCAATTTCCCATCTATCCACTTCAAGGATAATTCATATGCCATCGTAACAGGATGCCGAAAAGTGTGTTATATGCCAGACAGCAGCCCATATAATCGATATTCGATTTAAATTGTTCATTTAATCACTATTACTGCTGCATAAATGCATTCATGTGATATATATGTATATTCCAAGGCAAAAAATAATTGCAATTTATGATAATGAACTTTATTTTCGCAATTGATACAGATGGCCCAGATATACACCAAATAAGAGATGGATATTAAGAGCTGGCAAAGGTAGAAAGTTTTACAACACCGGAGGATAATGATTGATTGTTAGTTTAGTAAATGTTTCATCCTGTTGAAATTGAGCTTGAGATTGTTCATATGGAAATTAATTCCACTGAGATTGTTTAATGACTCAGGGAGGAATATTTGATGGATGGAATAAATGTGTTTTTGTTTTCATATTAAAGCCTCAAATAAACAAATTTTGGTTTACCATTTGGATTAATGACAGTTTATACTTGTGCTAGAAACTCACCTGGAAAATAAGGGTTTTAAATTATTCTCTTTAACTATCTGGCCTGTTTTCCTCCTCACTTTTAACTACCTTTTCCCCTTTTTTGCACTGAGGGCATAGTAAATTAGCGACTTAATGCCTTTGTCCTCTTTTACGGCAGTTAGTCTTTAAAAAGCTTGGGCTTCTTTGCTGCTTTGCTGCAAAAGTCCACTTAGTAATTCCCTTTGTTGGATAAGACACATATATTCGCAAGGATCAAACTGGCTGCACATGAGATTGGGCTTGTGGCCTGGAACCGAGTAAAAGTAAACTTAACTCGATGATGGCTCCTTGGCATGCAATTTCCACGAAGCCCCGGCTAAAACTTATTCAAGACATTGGCCCGGCTATCGATGACAGGTCGAGAGTATTTGAGGTAGACCAGAGGTGGCATCAGAGGGTTAAAGAAGCAATGAGGGGAAGCCAAGGACACATGCGTCATCAGCATTATACTTACACTTGAACGCACCCAAAAAAAAACAAAAAAAGACCATTACGAGGGGGTCAGTGGTCTGCTTTTACTCAAAAGATACCTCAAAGTTGAAATACTCTAGGGAAACTCAAGAAAAAGTTTTAATGAAATCCATTCTTTATGAGGAGAGGATTTTTGAAAACAAAAAAAAGGACAAAGTACAAGTTTGTTGCAATTAAAAATGTATTTTAATTAAGTGTCTATATTTTTAAATTCTATAAGACTCCCAGATCTTCTTAACGTTGCAAACTTCTATCCAAAATGATTCTCTAAAATTTCTGAACAATTTGAAGTCCCTGAAAACTATACACTTTCCTTTACTCAAAAGCTGTTAGATTTCCCAGATTTACCATTAATCCCAATGTGATAATAAATCACGCACACCAAAAGGTGAATTCACCTTGGACAGAAGAGTAAAGAAACGTGTTCAAGTCATAAAATAAAATAAAGGAAAAACGTAAAGAAAATAAAATAAAAAAAAGTAGAGAAAATAGTTGGGGCTTCATGAAAATGGGGATCCATTAACACGATTGCTCTGACCCCACACTCTTTCTCTCTCTGTGGAATCATTTATCATGCTACAATTTATCAGGCAGCTAGATTTAAGAGTTGAGCTTCTTTTATACTCTTGCAGGTATTATAATTTTAGTCAGAAGTTTGCAATGAAGTAATGGAGCCATCTCCGTCTGTCTGTTTATTTCTACTACAACTAGTTTCTCAGTTTGAAAGGTACATGAATTAAACTTAGCAGTTAGTCTTCTATATACTCTTACTCTTTTATAAGTCGGAACGGGCCAGTAAGTATCAATGAACATTAAGTAACTATGATCAGTAAGTACCTATGATCAATAATTAACTACGAGCAGTAAGTAACTCTTAACAGTAAGTATCTATGTCCAGTAAGTAACTCTGATCAGTAAGTATCAATGAACATTAAGTAACTTTTAAACACTAAGTATCTCTGATAAGTATCAATGAACATTAAGTAACTATGACCAGTATGTAGCTATGATCAGTAAGAATGTATGTTCAGTTACTAACTTTGAACACTAAAAAACAATGACTTGCAACTTTTGTAACACAACACGTATCCGAGACTTGGCTGGTAGAAGTCACTTCGTTCCGGGGATGTTAGAACTAGTTGAGAATCATAACCATGGGCGAGATGTGTTTTGGAACAAATTTAAAGCAAGCTATTTGAATGAAACTATGGAGTTATTCTTCTTTATAATTTTACTATTATATAAGTCGGAGCTTGGCGAATCGGTGGACTATATATATACATATATATAGCGGACATAGGAACAATAGGAAAATTTTTAGAAAAAAATATTATAACTTTTTCAGTTTTCAACAGATTTTTATCAAATTTAAGATATAGCCATTATATATAAATCTAGATTTTTGAGTAAAATTTTATGAAAATCTGAGTGCTATATCATAAAGCTGCCATACAAACGATCGTTAAAAATAGAGGAAAATGCAAAACGGTGAATGTAAAACTGGGAATATAAAATGTATAGGTAAATGAAATAAAAGCAAGCATAACTTAATAGTTTTTTAACATAAATATATCATTTATATTGTATTATTTCTGCAAGGGTATACAAAATACGGCATGCCGAAGTAAACTACCTTTCTTTATAGTTTTGAATTTCAAGGAAATGTATATACTATACGCAACTTTATGGAATATTATTATATATATATATTTTATTCATTTCCCCTCTGATTTTTGCAGAGTTTACAACGAAAAGTTGGTGAAAAGCGAGCGAGAACTTAGGCAAATATCAACAGCTGGGTGAAGCAAATCATAAGTAAACACAAAGGACCAGGACAGGACAGGAAGGGACAGCCAGACCGAAGGATAAATGTGGTAGTTGCCATGAGAGCAGCCTCGGGTGTTGACCAGGAGTGAAGGCGGGAAGGAGCAGCAACAGCTGTTGCAGGACCAGCACCAGGAGGAGCACCAGGAGGATACCACCAGCTATCCAAACACAACGAGAAACGAGCAACAAGCAACATCGAGAAGGGCAACAATAAGAACCGCCACAGACAGCAGGCAACAACACTCGCAATCAAATCAAATTCAAAGATGCAAATTACAATTTGCATACAAATGCATGCGGACACAACGAGCGACATCAGCACAAACACAAGCCACACAAATTGTTGCTATCAAATGCTATAAAATTCTACAGAATAATTGTACAGCTTCAGCGCACTCTCTTGCTAAAAAAAATAATAGAAAACAACATATCTCCACTGAGAGGCAGCAGCTAGCGGGGCGTTGTTTCCCCCATTCCATTCAAGACATCCTCAACATGATCAAGGGCATTTTAATACAGCGGAAGAGCCAGGAGGATGCCAGCTACACCAAGCAGCTCAAAATGGAGCATGCCGACCTGGTCGCCGAGATGCAGACTGTCGAGAGTCTGCCCACACATGAGCGACTTCAATTGGCCAGATTGTAAGTGCATAATGAAATATTAAATAGTTCATCAAAACCTATTATCAAGTCTATAAAACTGTCAGAAATCCCTGAAATGTTTCCTTTAAGTTTGTTATCAAATGGTATGCGTAATTACTATAATTTCATTTGAAATCTAAAGCTATGTATATTGAGATTAAGAACTTCTCATTTAGTTAGTCAATTCTTGTTTAAATTTGTTTAATTTTCATTCAAATGGAGATTCTGGAAGTCGAACTTTATACACCCTTGCAGTGCGCAATTGAATTGTAGAATCAGATCCGGTAATCGATCAAAATATTTAATTCCTTGATGAGTTATTTGTAGATATTTTTATATGACAATTTTTTCGACTAATCAAAATTTAATAACTCATAACTAAGCCAAAAATTCATTAATTTTAATTCGGAAAACGGTCCTTTGCTAGTTTTTATTAGGTTAACAAATCTGCATACTCAGTTTTAAAATTTTAAAAATTGAATTTTTTGTCAATTTTAACGATGTTACCCCTTATATTTTATTTTTTATTTTGGCCAAATTTAAAAAAAAAATTTTTATTGTCTGGAGTAATCTAGATCGACTCAGTTTTTTATGCTGATCAGGAATATATATGATTATAGGGTCGGAAATGACTCCTTCGATGTGTTTTAAGCTTCTGACTGAAATAAGAATCCCTGTTTTGGTATAAAAAATAGATGGGAACAGATATTACGAAGTCCAAATATTATTACTCTTGTGTTGATTAGAAATTTGTTATCTCTTCCGTAGTACTTCTATTCTTCTTTTCTTCATTATTATATTAATTATAGTATTTTGTTAGGCTGCATTATTATTTAGTTAAATTCTAACCAAACCCCAATATAATTGTAATGGATACTTTTTGATATATTTTGATATGACAAATTTTTCGACCAATAAAATTTAAAAAAACTCATAACTCAGCCAAAAATGGATTAAATTCAATTCGGAAAGCTGTCCTCTGCTAATTTTTATTAGGTTAACAATACTGCATACTTAGTTAAAAGAGTCGAAAAATTCAATTTTGTGTCAAATTTTGAGAATTTTAACGATGTAACCCCTTACCGTTTTTTAAAATTTTGCAAAAATTTGAAAAATGATTTTTTTTGCGGGACATGGCTAGATCGATTCTGTTTTTAATGCTGATCAAGAATATATATGATTTATAGGGTTGGAAATGACTCCTTCATAGCATTATAAGCTTCTGACTAAAATAATAATACCCTGTAAGGGTACAAATGAATTTTAATGAAAACATAGACAGACTTCCCATTGAGTTATTTAATTTATGTTGCAATAAAATTTCATACAAAGAAAGTATTAATTTTTTATTAAATTAAATGAGTTTTAAGGCATCCACACAATTTTCTAATTAAATAAACCCTAAACTTCCTCTGACTGAACCCCTTATCCTCTAAGACCATTCCAAATACCCGTAACTAATAGCCAAAAACTCAATCTCTCTCTATTTATCCCAATTAGACGTCGTGGCCAGCAGCTCAAGTTGGCGCGTCAGAAGGAAAAGGAGTGGGCCAAGCTGCAGCGGGCGAAGGGCAACACGGGTAGCGGCGGCAGCGGAACCGGAAGTGGATCGCTCGGCAACAGTCTGTTGAACGGGAACCATGGGGATACTACGCATCATTTCCGGCATGCCAACGGTTCGGGAACGCTGAGCGGAAGGCGGCACATATCCTTCGAGAACAGTGTGGTGCTGCTGGAGGCAGCCTCCAGGAACGATATGCCCGAGGTGGCGGCACTGCTGCAACATGGAATTACTCCGGATGCGGCCAACGAGGATGGGTTGACGGCAATGCATCAGGCGTGCATTGATAACAACGTGGAGATGCTGCAGCTTCTGCTCGAGTATGGGGCAAATGTGGATGCGCAGGACAGTGATAAGTGGACGCCCCTGCATGCGGCAGCCACCTGCGGCCACCTGGAGCTAGTACGCATCCTCATCCGGCACGGAGCCAACCTGCTGGCCGTTAACACCGATGGCAATATGCCCTATGACCTGTGCGACGATGAGAATACATTGGATTTCATCGAGGGCGAGATGGCACAGCGGGGCGTCACCCAGGAGCTGATCGATGAGACGCGCTCCTCCACGGAACGGATTATGCTGCGTGACCTCATGGAGCTGGCCCGTACCGGTGGGGATTTGGAGGAGCCCGACTACCAGTGCGCCACACCAGTGAGTGGATTGCATCTTGATTTCCAGATTAAACCGTGCCCATGTTGTAAATAACTTTTGATTTATCTCTATTGTGTTTTTCAGCTGCACATAGCCGCTGCCAATGGATATGTTCGTGTTGTGGAGTTTTTGCTGGAACAGCATGTCAATGTGGATGCCATGGACAAGGATCTATGGACGCCAGTGCATGCTGCCGCCTGCTGGGGACATGTGAGTGAAATGATCTGCAAACAATGGAGTAATTTAAAATATATATATTTTACCTATATTTTATTGTAGCTGGAGGTGCTGGAGATGTTGGCCCAATGTGGTGCTGATTTAAATGTACGCAACAAGGACGATGAGACGCCCTCAGGTGAGAATATGTCAAAATGTTATGCGAATAAAGCCACGAACAGTCACATCCTTGGTGAACGAAATGAAAATGCATATGAAATTGAGCTATAAATTATCGTTAATGTTTTTATGAAAGGATGTAAATCGTTTAACCTGAAGGTTTGATATATTTATTATAAATATTATATATTATTTATAGATATTTGTGAAGATCCCGAGATCAGGGAACGCATTGAGCAGCTGAAAACGGAGCAGGAGAGCAAACGACTGGCCGAAGCTCAGCGACGGCGTGTGCGACGTTCACAGAGCAACAACACCAGGTTACTTTTGATTTAAAAAGAAATCAATATATAATTTAATAAACATTTTTCTCTCACCCAAACAGAGCCCAATCAGTGCGTCGTACTAGCTTGCGTGACAAAACGCTGACAACCAAAAAGGATGCCGTCGAGGAGACGCGCCTACGCCTGCAGGCCCAGGAGGCGACGGCTTCTTCGGAGGCGCCCTCCTCTGCTGCCGTTGGAGATCCACTGACCAATGGCTACAATGGTTACAATGGCAACAATAATGGCGAAAAGCGTCCCTCCACTGGAAGTTCAAATGGCCAACTACTACTGCCGCACTCCAAGTCCGCCGATGCGTTGGATAATGCCATGATAACATCATCCGCCGCATTGACGGCCACCGCCACACATTCCTATCAACCGCGTCGTCCGCCAGATGGCCGGGAAAATGATGAGCTGCTCCGCCTTAAGGCCGCCGGTGGTGCTGTTTCCGATATGCAGCGTGCCACATCCGCGGCGGCTGTTATACTCACCGAAAAGGGTACTGCGGCTAGTGCCGAAGCTGTACAAATCCAGTCGTCCAAGGAAGCTGCCAATGGGAAGATCAATGTCCAGGTCACCGTCCTTGTGGGTGAGTCAACCGTGGCCACGTGTCAGGCTTGCTTCCGCTTTTTCCTATCCCACCAAAACCACCACCCAAAACCACCCATTCATTCAGTCATCCGCCCCCATTTGGCTCCCAAGGAGCGTCAACGTATCACAGAGAGTCCTGCTTAAGCGCCATTCTGTCCCCGTGTCAATGTCAATGTTTAATGTTTATTTAACGACTCTACTAAAATGGAAATGAAAATACTTCCAACAAGCAAACACACCGCTAACACAGCTTGAGTAGAAAGATCGACTAGAGAATGTGCTGTAGGGAATACGGAAAAGCGTTTGTGAATAACGTGCAAGTTTTCCGTTAAGAGGGAAAATCCCTGAAATGTAATAAAATAGATATTTAAAGTACTTGTTTTGTGGAACTATACGTTTTAATTAGAATCCTCATTTAAATATTTTTAAATGAATATATTTAAACAAATTATAAAAATACAAATATCTTTTAATAGTGATTAAATCAAGAGAAATTATAATTTTATTCAAGTTAAAAGGATGAAAGGAAGGTAGGGGATTAGGAGTCGAATTTTAAATTTAGCATAACTAAGCCAAAAATGCATTAATTTTAATTCGAAAAGCTTTTCTATGTTAGTTTTTGTTAGGTTAATAAATCTGCAAAATCAGTTTTAAAATATAAAAAATTCAATTTTGTATCAAATTTTAACAATTTTATAAAATTAAAAAAAAAATGTTTTTCTGCAAGACATTGCTAGATCGATTCATCTGTTGATGCTGATCAAGAATATATATGATTTATAGGGTCGGAAATGATTCCTTTACTGAGTAGAAAACTTTTAAGTTGTATATTATAGTATCCTATTAGGTTATAATTAACCTTGTGTATCTAAAACTAAAGTTTAACTTAATCAGATATTTAAAAAAGATAAATGCATGGCTAGAATTAAAGAAGTAACAAAACAGCATGAAGCATCCATCTCATGTAACTAACCATTACAATTTCCTTGGTCAAGGGGTATTCGTAAAACTTAACTCTCCGGGAAAAAAAAGAAGAAAGAAAAAAGTTAAATAACATTTGCTTGTTTCTGTTTCATACTCTATATATTTATATATTTTTTTGTTCCTTGTTGTCTTTGTTGTGCCTCGTTTCGCCCGTTCTGTGTCGTCTGCCTGCCTGCCCGCCTCGCATCATCATCCTCAACAAAAACAACAACAACAACAACAAAAACACACCAACCAAACACACACACACCAACACCAACACCACATCCAGACACCAACAGCACGCATCAGCATCATCAGCAAAATCTCCAGCAACAGCTCCAGCAACATGCCCTCATGTTGCAGCAACAGCAACAGCAGCAGCTACAGCAGCAACATGTTGCACTCGATGGCTACGGTGCTACCTTGTCCAATTTGAAAAAGCAGCGCTCGCTTTCACGCACCGCCAATGTACTCAATAATTTCGAATTGTCATCCCAACAACAAGCAACTAGCAATGCCAATAATCCAATTCTAGCACCAACTGCTCCAACTAATGGTTCTGTTTTAGGAGCCGGCGGTAGCAGCGGCAACAACAACAATAACAACAATCTTAACACCAGCAACAACAATAACAACAACAACAACAATGGCAACAACATCAACGGATCAGCCCCAATATCCACACAGCCATTGGGCATGGGCATGGCACCGATGGGTAGCCTAACCTCAGACTTTGAGGTTTCCTCGCCGGCGAGCAGTTCGGTGAACAAGTTCAGCGGCATCACCGGGGATGTGGTCAGCGACAGCACCAGTTCCAGTCGCAAGTGCTGTGTCCTCATGTAGAATTGAGGCAAATTTGTCAGATAGTTGAGAGAGATAGAGATACATATATATATATATATATAGATCATTATATACATGGGATTTGTAAGCAAGAAAAAAGTGTCTTTTTTTAGTAATTAGCCGAATTCAGTGAGAAAACGTTGAATGTTACAAACACAAGAGAGAGAGAGAGATAAAATGTTGAAAGAATTGCATGTTATTCAACAAAAAGAGGGGTTCAATTCTTCTGAGCTCCCTAAAGAACGACTCAAAGTCGTTTCCAGTCGTTGTTTCCTAGCAAAACATACACACACACACATCACACAACAGATTATACGATACAAATTTATATAGAAATATACAAGTACCATATGTATACACTCTAAAGTTTATTAAACAAAATAAATGTGAGCAGTTTACCTTAGTTAATGTATAATATAAATGCAAAATCAAAAAAACATAACATACAAACTATCAAAATTATGACTAAGAACACAAAATATACATAGGAACTTTGTTTATTGATTGATTCGCTTGCGACAGAGTGTAAAAACCAAAACAGGCAAAGTATTATGCAAAACAAGTATGAAATATTTAACTAAAAAATATATTTACGATAGCGAAATTGTAGTTAAAATAATGTGACAGGCGACAGCAAAGCAAAGCAAAGCAATGTAACGAAATGCAAAGCGCACTTGAAGCAATTCCCCACTAAAATGTTTTTGAATTGAAATTATATCTTTCCCTGTCCCCGATTTGGATATACATATGTATGTATATTTTAGAGTGCGATTTACTTGCGCTCTGCCTTTTGTGAGTTGAGTTTTGTTAAGTATGGATACAACAAAAAATTTGTATTATTTATGTAGCAACTATGTCTGTATATATACAACACAATTCCAAATGATTATAAAAGAAAAAAACACAACGCGCAATTAGCAAATGAGACTTTTTCGATTTAATAAATGTCAAGGCATTAGCTGAACGTTTTGTAAAAATAAACGAATGAAATAAGACAAATTCCTACACGAAATAAGACTTTTTATTTATAATATGCGATCACAAATATAAAGGCAAAATTTACTGGTTCTGATGTATATTTGTAATCATATTTGCAATATTTTATAGATATGTTTTTAAAAATCACTTATAAATTCAAAAGAAAGCGGGTTTTCCGCCTTTCGTTTTTAAATTTCGGTATATTTTGGTATATTCTAACCGAAAGGCAGTTTCAGGTAATTTTTGTCTTTCGATATGCAGTCACACTGGCAAAACCACATTGTTTACATTTATTATTTTTTAATTTTAAATGGAATCTTTGGCCAAATATCGTTATAGTTTGATAGCAGGAGCGTTTGCTGCCGGTGGCAGCTTCTTTGGAAAGCTGCCAAGCCATCTCAGTGCCCAGAATCTGCTAAATGCTTCAGAATCCTCGTACTTGGGTATGTATGTTGTCATTGTTGGTTAAATAATAATAAATGAATGCGTTAATTTTCAGAAACTATATTAATGCGTGCTGCACCATTGGCTTTAATGCTGCTTTGCAATGTTAGCAATTTGCGTTGTTTTCTAAAAGCCCTGCAAATGACTGAGCAAACATTGACTTGCGTTGTCCTAACCGCCGCCTCCAATTATGTCTTATCTGTAAGTGTTCCCCTGCTGTTGATATAAAGATTGTTGTTACTCATTCCTTAAAAATAGTTTGTTTTAGGTGCGCTTGTATATAGGGAGCCATTAACAGCAGTATCCGGCCTTGGTATATTACTCATATTGTCGGTCTTTGGTTCCTTTGCGACGCCGGTGCTGTGGAAGGCCATCAAAAGGAAACAAAAAAGGAATAAATTTAATAAAAATGATTGTTTTTAAACTAGAATACAAGAAGACAACATCAATAACATCGCATTTACAACATCAATTTAAAACTACAATTTACCCAAACAAAATATGCGGTCAATTGCCGCCTTTATAGTTAACAGCAATGACGCTTCACTTTGCACATTTTCAGTTATGAGTTAACAGCAAAAATGTTTGTTTTTGTACCTTTTTGTATTTGTAAAATTGTTGTTGTTGTTGTTGTCAGTCGTTGGTAAATAGTAGTTGTTGTTGTTGTAGACTATGCCGAGGCTTCAATTTGCCCGTTTTCAGTACAAAATCGACCGTTTCTGGATCTCATGTACCAGGCGAACAGAAAGCAGCAGCAAGCGACTGCATTTTTGACGCCAAGGGCTGCCGGATCGACGGCATATGCGATCGATCCGGCAACGCTGGTTCCAAATTGCGCGTCAAGTGTTGCCGGATCGACGGCATATGCCATCGATCGGGCAACTCTGCTCTCAAAGAGCTACCGGACCGACCGAATTTTCCGACAATCTGGCAATGCTGGTCGCCAAAGGCTGCCATATCGACCGCATATGTAATCGATCCGGCAACCCTTAACGCGAAATTTGGAACCAGCGTTGCCGGATCGATCGCATATGCCGTCGATCCGGCAGCCCTTTGCGTCAAAAATGCAGTCGCTTGCTGCTGCTTTCTGTTCGCCTGGTACTCCAGATCGATTTTGTACTGAAAACGGCCGAATTGAAGCTTGGTTTTGCCTACAACAACAATAACAACAACAAACAACTATTTTACAACAACAACAAACAACTTTTTTACAACAACAACAACTTACAATTTACAAGAACAAAAGGGGAAAATTAATAAGTTTATCTGCCAAACCAATAAAAACAAAGTTTTCCGCTAAAGTAAACAAGGCAGTTAATAACTACCTCAACTATTTGGAATAAAACGATCGGCTCATTTATCATTTTGTTTAATGTTGTATGTACTATTTTGCAAATACATAATTTTCATTTCATTTATAATGCACTCGCACACACACTCAATATTTAGTGTGCCCGCTGCTTCTTCTTCGTTCCACATAGTGTTATAATTACATCTATTTAATTTTCATCATACGTGGTTTTGTATTGTATTTTCTGTTTTTTCGTGTAAAAGTTTGGCAAAAAACAAAAAGGTGTTGAAGTATATTTGGATAGAGCATGACAGTGTGGAGCACAAACTATATAAATATATATTTATCCATCGTTTATATATATAGGTAATAGTAATTATTTTGTATTTTGTTTTCAGAATCGTTTAATTTAATTGCTAAGACGTATAAATACTTTTCATGTTTTCTCATTTCTCTCGACACATCTGGTAATTATCGCATGTCAGCTTCAACGCAGCTAGAAACAGGGATAAATATAGACTGAAGTCGGGCGAGGAGGAGTTATGTACTTTTTGCTCATCTTTTTCGATCTTGCATTTCGGTTGTTTTTTGGGAGTTTTAGAAACCCGTAGAGCGAGCGCTTGCCTTCCTGTATCTGTATGTTTGTTGTAGTCCTTGTGTGTGTTTCTAACAACTATTTTGTTTTATTATTAATACATTATTTAAATAAACCATAATTAAGGGAAATTTAAGTGTAAGTTGTATTAAAAAATACGTGCAAATTGGTTTTCTGACTCTCCTTCATTTGCTTTCCCTTTGTTTTCTGAGGGATTCGTATTATTTTATTGTAGAATCCCATTTATATTCTGGTTGAGAGTTTCATTCCCTTTTCAACGTAACGATAATTGTACGTCTACGTGGCCATTATTTGTTTGTTGTATGCTGATGATTGGTTTCCGTTTTGTTTTTGTGTATGGATCTCGAATGAAGTTGATGTTTCTATTTGTTTTGTTTTCTTTCTGTTAATACGTATTGTTTTCTGCTCAGTTTTTATTCTCCAATCCGAGGGGCATGCGCTGTGACTGGTTCTGGCGGCTTATGTAGCCACCGCTCTGGTTGCCTGCTCCTCCGCCGCGTCCACCACGGTCACCCATAGGCCTGCCACCACCGTAAGAACCGTTGCCATTCCGTTGCTGGTTGACTCCGCGCTGACCCCGATAGCTTCCGCCGGAGGATTCGTAGCGGGACTCCTTGTTGTAGGGACCATTGCCCCCGCCGCCACCGCCTCCTCCGTTCTGGTAGTAGTTGTTACCTCCACCGCCTCCATTGCCGGTGTCATTGTTGCGGAAGTAGACGCCGCCGCCACCGCCGGAATTGCGTCCGTTCTGGTTTGAGGAGTTACCGTATTGACGCGATCGATAGTTTCCTCTGTCAACACCGCCATTGCGCCGGTCATCGCCACGCGTGCCCTGATCACGATCTCGGTCGCCACCGCTGCGACGCTGGTAATTGCCAGAGTTACGACGGCCATCACCCTGCGAATTCCAATGATTGTTTCCTCCCTCGTTGTCCGCATAACCTCCTCCACCTCCTCCGTTTCCACCACGGCCCGCACTATTGTCCCTGGGCGCGGACCACTCCTGCTTGTGGCTGGTGTTGCTGCTGCTGCCGTTTGAGGCCGCGCTGCTCATGGCATTCATCTCCGAACTCCACTTGGTGGGCGGTGCCGGTGGTGTGGGCTCACCTCCCTTGAGGACATTAGTGAGTGCCACTGTGGCAGCGGTGTTCGTGTCATTGTTGCGCCATTCATTGTTTTCCAACACCACGTCGCTGCCAGTTCCACCAGCATTGGAAGCGGTATTCCCGGGTGACGGCTCATCCAGTTGCTGCTGCTGAATCTGCTGTTGTTGTTGTTGTTGCTGTTGCTTCAGCTGCTGCTGGATGCGCTGGTCGTAGGTAACTACTGGGCCGTCGTATGGAAAGACTGAGGTTACATCGCCAGGCTGCATGCCAATTCCTTGAGGAGCAGGCTGCTGGTTCGGTAGACGCGGCATAATTAGCATGGGTTGGGGCTGCTGCTGTTGCTGGCGTTGCTCGTGGATCAGGACCGGGGAGAAGAGTTGCTGCTGCTGCGGTGGAGGACCGGCTGTTGGGGCTTCTGCTGTTGCTGCTGTTGGGAGGGAAAAGATTGATTGGTGAAGGTCAACGTTTGTATGGCTTGCGGTGGTTCATCGACATGGTTCGGCTGCTGCGTATCAAACACCAATCCCGGATTGTTGGGAGGCGGCAGGGGTGCTAGGCCTTCAGGATTGTCCAGTTCACTGTCCTGCAGAAAAAGGAAGCTTCCTGTGCCGCCCAATACCTCCGCCAGGGGACGCATTTGCTGCATGAATTGCTGTTGCGGTGTTGGTGCTGGTGCCTGCAATCCTCCAGGCTGCGAATGTGGCGGCGCTGGTTTAAAGTAGTTCTGTTCCACGGCCCGCACACTCGGAGCAAAGTGAGGCGGAGGCGGATGCGCCTGCTGCTGCTGTTGGGGCGGCTGTGGAGGAGCTGCTCCAGCACCTCCCGTCTGCAATGCCTGGAGATTCACGGGGCTGCTCAGCAGCTGGTGAGGATGCGGCGGCTGCTGCTGCTGTTGCTGTGGAGGCGGTGCTGCTGCATACAGGACATGCACAGGGGTGGTGGTTCCCCCAGCTGGAGGGGCAGCTTGGTAAACCTGTGGCAGCTGCTGTTGCTGCTGCTGCTGTTGCACCACCAGGGTCTGTTGCTCAAGAAGAGGAGCACGCTGGTGCTGTTCCAACAGAAGGTGGCCTCCCGGACGCTCAGGCTGCTGCTGATGCTGTGGTGGATGATGCTGCTCTAGTTCCGGTGGGCCTCCAAGATGCAATTTGTCGAGACCTTCCTCTAAAGAATTTCGAGCCGATGGCTCAGATGGTAGCTCAGTATCCAGATCGCCGCCAGAGCCATCGTTCAGCAAGTCGACGCCACCATCGCCTTCGCCGCTTCCAGTGCCACTGTCCGTGCTATTGGCCACCGCATTCTCCACCTGATAGTACTTGTCCAAGTAGCCGCTGTCCTGGATCTGCTGGAACAGGCTCCGCAACTTCTCGAACGTTATATCCCCGAATGTCTTGGGTCGGGCATTAATGGTCGAAGCAAAAAGTTCGGCTGACTTCTGGGCAGTGGAAATGAAGCTGACATCGTCAGCGGTCTCAGGGCGACGAGTTCGGGTTTCCATGCAGCTGGAAAAAATCAAATTCAATTAATAATGGCATTTGTTATCTTGTGATAAGTCACCCCGGAAAGACTCATTGATATTTTTACATTTAATCGGCGCTATTTTGCTACTTTTCAATGACCCGGTCATAGCTATTGAATAGCCATTTATAAAATATTCAAATAAATAATAAATAATTTTAAAATAAACTTTTTTTTTTTAGGAAAATATGTAGGTTTTACTTTTAGTTGTTATTCATTCTACAGATTAGTCACGGTAAGACTGTGAGAAATTAAATTTGGCGTGTCGGTAGTTCGTATAGCAGCACCGCTTTTCAAGTAACTGGAACTGTGAACTATGGCCTCTAAGAACTTAAAATTAAACTTACAATTTCTCCAGCACTTCCAATTCACTGCTTTCCAGCTTTTTCGCTCCATTCTCGCCGGCAGAAAATCGTTGCGTATTTGTTCATCGTTGAAGCAGTTAAGCACGTTCTGAATGATCAGAACCTCACGGATCTTTGCCGTTTCAGCCAGTGTCTTTGCCTGGTTGTCCTTTAACACAAGCACAAGAAATTAATTGAAGGGCTTTAATGTGAATTACAAGCACTGGCTTACCTTGCGAGCCTGTTTTTTCTGCTCCTTTTCGGCCTCCTTGGACTGCTGCTGCATCTGCTTGGCCAGCTCGCGGGCAAACTCCAAATTGGCCAGAACTGCATCGTACTTGGCCACCGCCGAGGCCTGGTCGCCGCTCAATTCCTTGCCGCTGCTCTGAATAGCGCGATATGATTCCAACTTGGTCTGTTCATTGAGTAAAAATAAAAATATTAAAACAAATCTGCTGCGATACTTAAAATACATTGATATTTCGCACCTGATTAAAAAACTGTTGGAACCTTATATACACATACTTAAAATATTATTGGCCGTTAGAATATTTATGCAAATTTTATAAAACACAATTTGCTAATTTATTTTCATCCCGCACTGACATCGGCGTTGCCAGATGCATTACACACACAGCTGTGAACGTGTTGAATTTTCGTCTACAACTTGCAATAGGATTAGTATATCTGCCGCTTCAACGCCATTGGTACCTACTCTAAGCTATTTAAATGTCAAAAAACGCAAAACTCCATGGATTCAATATGATGGACTTGTTCTATTCAGCATGCCGGCCGCTGCCCTCGGTCTGGCAACGCCGAGCGCTATAGAAAACATGGCGTCGCCCGAGAAAGCACGAGAAACGGGAGGTGTGCGGGGTGCACGCAAAACGAAACAAAGCAACACCGAGAGAATGAAAATAAAAATGGTGGGCCATGCTGCCGATCCTTTGTTCCCCTTACCCCTTGAAGGTGCTACAACTACGACCCCTCGTACTCACCTTGCGCTTCTCCAGGTTCCGGATTTTGTGCTCAATGGTGACCAGCATCTGCTTCAGCGGATTGTACGGCTCTGGGGTCACGGCGACGCCGGCAGGGGTAGCGGCAGCAGCGGCCGACTTTAGCGCCTTCGTGCTTCCGTTGCTCGCATTGTTGTTGGCCAAATCCGACTGACTGCCGTCCGCTGTCGGCTGGGTCAAATTGCTGCGGCTGCCGGCATGCTGGCCATTAATGGTGGCTCCATCGCCGCCAGAAGCAGCTGCAATTCCGCCGCCACCGCTGCCCCCACCAATCGAGCTGACCGAGGCGCGTTTATCCTTGCTATTGTTGTTGTTGCTGGCGGAGGCGTTGGTGATTGTGGTGGTTGCAGCCGAAGGCATGGTTTGCCGCTGTGTTCTTTTCCTGGTTGCTCAACGACGATTTAGCTCGAAATGGGGAATGATGTTAGAAGGTTGCTTTTTCCCAGTCCAGTTTTGTCGCTCCGTTCAGGAAAAAAATTTGCAAAGTTGTGTCGAGTGACCTTTTTAAATATTTCGCAAAACACTTCTTTGCCTTCGATAACTGCGGAAAAATTTAGCTATGGGACGGCTGGTCACACTGATTTCGCGAAGGCGTGCAGAGCTATCGATGTTTCTTAATATCGATACGTACAAAATTTAAATAATTTTACGTTAGAAATTTGATAAAAAGACTTCGAAAGTGACTTTAGTCCCTGTGAGTTTATGTTCTATAGATGTAGCCAAAACATAGTAAATAAATGTTTTGTAAGATGAAATTATTCAGCATAAACCCTGACATAATCAATAATCATGGCACTTTGCCTGCCCCATGTGGGAGCCCAAGCATCTCGCTGCTTCCAAAAGGAGAGCGCCGCTCGAGGCTCACGGTTTTTGTACGGCTTTACATCCTTGTCCAGTATACTGTCATCGAAATTAAGGAATCCTCCAACGGTAACGCCAAAAATAATGAAGCATTTCTCATTGAAATAGGGCAAACCATCGTACAGCTCTCCGTAGATTTCCTCATCCACCATTAGCGTTATTTTATCCCTCTGCCAGATCATGGTGTAGTTGTGGAAATCATCACCGTAGTGGTCTTTACTAACTTGATCCTTAATGAACTGAACAGCACGGCCGTGATGCCAGACCACCATGCCGCCATAAAGATGATTACCAGATATATCTTCTCCCTGCTTGGTTCTCAAATTGGCGTTACCACGGGCGTAGGCAATGCCTGAAAGTATAAATAAGATACACTGTATTAACGATTTTTTTATACTAAGTATAAAACATACGCAACTGCTTGGCATAATGTGATTCCGCATAGGTGGAAACGGGCTGAAGCATCAGATCTATAATAATATTTCAAAATCATTGAATAAACAAATGTTTTTGCTTGCCACTTACAGGGGAAAAGCCAGTCTCCTTTTGGCAACTTGGCCCGCACAACAATCTTTCCAAACTTGAAGCTAAACGAGTCCCTGGTGTGGATTTGGGCGGAGAAAACCGGTGGTTTGATGGTGTAAAAGGTGTTCTGGGCAATGTTACACTCCTGATCCGGATTTTCGACCGCCGTGCACCGGTCTCCCAGCTGAAGCTGCCTTCCTTCACCTCACTGGCCACAGTGGGAACGATGTGGAGATTGCCTTCCTTTACAAAGGAATTCCGCGGGGAATCGTCAAAGGCGACCAGCTCCTCCTCTACATGGTACATGCGTTGCCGGATGTCGTGCTTCCAAGTGCTTTTATTTAGCTGCGGCTCCGAAAAGTTGTCCTCGAAAATTAGTTCACCCTGGCAGGTGCGCCGGCCACTGTTGACTATGGTTTGGGCGGGCTTGCATCGCTTAGCTTGCTGTTCCGGGGCCAGAAATGCTTCACACTCGCCCTCACCCGAGGGGAAGTTAATGTTTCGCGAGCTGGTGTGCCTGGTGGTCAGCAAACGCTTGTTGATGATCACCCTGGTCTCGCTCTTCTCGAATATCTCATCGTTGTACTGCACGAGCATGGATATCTGAAGCTTGTCGTTGTTCTGAAGACTCGTTTTCTGTTTGGAAACCCAACTGCCGTTCACTGATTCCGTAATATAATCCATTAGGGGCGGACAGCTATCGTCTATTTGGAGCATATAGAACACTCGTTGTATGCCTGGTTCATCTGGAGTTATAGGACCAAAAAATGTACACATGTTACTAATATATACATAATTCTAAATAACTCTCAAGAAACATTTAAACCCTACCAGGTATGGACACCTCAAACCCCAGTTCATTGAGCATTTCAAAGTCAATGCTGGGTATCTTGAACCCCAGAACAGCATAATTTGAAATGATGAACAATAAGCAGGTTAGGATTTTCCACCGCATGACGCAGTTTTAATTACTCTTAATACATGTACTAACTAGATTCCGATTAAAAGTGCTATTCTGAGAAGCTCAAAGGCGCGACTACTGCATCAGATTGAAAATCTTGATCTTAAAAGCTAAGTGCGATTAAAGCTTTACTCAATCGCAAATTCAATTACAATACGCACATGAAAAAACGAATTCCTAGACGTGCATTGAACTTAATTAAACGGCTATTGATATGGTTTAATAATATATAATATTGGTATAGGTAAGTTGTTTATTTAATCGTTAGTATTAATAACTAAGGTCAAGAGGTCCTAAAAGAATTCATAATTTCCTATCAAACTTGGGTCTTTTAGTGATAGGTATGAACCATTTTGTAAACCTTTAACATAGATTACAAAGCTAACTTCCTTCTTCTTAGGGAAGTCTACAACCGTATCCTTATTTTCGAATTACTATGATATACTATTGTCCTTTAATAATATAAATATTTCATTAAAAAATAAATAAATTATTTCTTAATTATTGGTGATTTCTTCAAGTGTAAGACAAGCTTCTTTTATCGCATCAGCTGTGCAAAGCTTTATTGCCAATGGCTGATTGCTAAGAGAAGAGCCAGAGCCGCTGATCCTACGTTTTCGGGCCGTATTATTTGATTATAAAATGTTTAGTTCTGAGAGAAGCCAGATCGCAGCGGGAGCTGATATGAACAGGGATTTGCACAGGCCAAACCGCGATTGCCGGGGCCAAACTTAAAGTAAACAAATAATAAAAATCGCCCAGCAGCGACGAGACGGCAGAAACCGGTTGCCACTGAGATAGAGACACAGCATAGCCTGAGTCACAGAGGCTTCGGATGTGCGAAGAAAAACGTACGGAAATCGAGGATTCAGAATGCCAGGATTATACATTGAATACTTTTCCTGATCGGTTTGGGCACAGCCTTGGGTATAAGATACCCACGCCCACAGTGGAGCTGCTGGAGAATAGTTTTCGCGTCTCCATACCAGGTGAAGCAAAAGCTGTAGAGAATTGCTCTTAGCTTCTTAATCTTCTTTTAATTTATACATATATATATGTGCTCTATGTTCTTTCAAAACATTATAGATTCATATAATGATAATAATTGTGGCTGTGATTGTTTCCATATGTCTAGAAGAAATTAATTCCATTATTTCTAATAAATAATCTCTGTTTCTTATTTGTATGTACGTTTAGACGAAGTCGGCGTCAAGGTGGTGGCTTTTAATGTGAATCGCAACCGAAACTTTACTTCGTTTAACCAGGGACAATTCAATGTGAGATTAATCAAGCCGCAGAATGGCAGGTGGTCCAGTGACTTCAATTCCGGCGCCCTGAGAGCCCAGGATGTGCTGTATCTCTGGACGAGTGTCCAGCACGAAAAGGCTCTGTATCAGGATTTGGTTCAACCCCTGAAGGTCTGCAGCTAGGAGGAGATTACCTGCCCAAGGGGTGTTCAAGCGATGAGACCTCACGGATGACAACCGCCTAAACACTGAGGATACCGCCTCAGAGCTGCCATCTCCTTCGGTGTGTGAGCCTTCCATATCGACGGTTTCTCCACCAATCGGTGGTCCCATCTGCAAGGGACAACTCCTGTTTGAGGAGACCTTCGATCAGCTGAACGAGACCCTTTGGCTCCACGAAGTGCGCCTGCCCTTGGATACTAAGGATGCGGAGTTTGTGCTTTACGATGGCAAGGCTAAAGCTGAAGATGGACACCTGGTCATGGAACCGCTGCTTTGGTCGAGTTACCGTCCGGATCTCTCCATAAACAATGCCAGGCTCGATCTGGCGGAGAGATGTACAGGAACCCACGACCGACTCAAGGAGTGTGTGTTGCACACGACTAGGAGTGGACCCAAAGGAATAATGCCACCTATAGTAACACCACGAATCAGCACCAAGGAATCCTTTGCCTTTCAATACGGACGGATTGAGATACGAGCCCGGTTCCCGAAGGGCGATTGGATTGTACCGCTCCTCCTGCTGGAACCCCTGACGGAGTGGTATGGCCAAACGGGCTACGAGTCCGGTCAGCTGCGGGTGGCCATGGCCAGGGGTAACACCAGGCTGAGGATGCCACACGGAAAGCTGTGGATGGAAGAACCCTGTATGCTGGACCCGTAATCTCACGGATGCCCGTCAACGGGAGGATATGTGGGTGAGCCAGCGAAGAAATTCCCACTTTGGCGACGACTTCACACCTACAGTTTGGATTGGAGCAGCAGCAGGCTGTTGTTCTCGGTGATGGCCAGGTTTACGGGGAGATGCCGAGTGGTTTTGCGGAATTGGACCTTAATCCCAGATGGAAACAGGGGGCTTCAATGGCCCCTTTTGATAGAATGGTAAGTTTGGCGACTCAAGTAATCCTTGCTTATCAATATAATTTACTTAAAATACCCCACAGTTTTATATAAGCTTGGGCCTTTCCGTTGGCGGCTTTGGTGACTTTGTCGACAATCTGCGGACGGCCAATTACGAGAAGCCTTGGCTGAACTACCATCCCCAGGCGAAACTGCAATTCTATCAGAGCCAGGATTGGCTTCCCACATGGAAACAACCCTCTCTGAGAGTAGACTCTGTTCGTGTTTATGCTAACTAATCATCTTTGAGGAGGGTCGCAATAAAGCTATCAGAAATCGCATCTGAGTAGTCCGAATCCTCTCCAAATATAGTGGAGGCTTTTAATCACATGCTACTTAGTTTGTTATTATAAAAGCTGCATTATTTTATTGTTGAAATCAGTTAGTAAGTGTGTAGGCCATCAGGCCCACGATTCCAGCACTTCCCAATGTAGCCAAATGTGCGCCAGCACCTTCCATCAAGTATTCAAACAAAATTGCACCGTATCTGGCCAAAAAAGCCAGGCCCGCTACGGCGTAATAAAACAGGTTGTCATCGTTAAAGCCAAGATACGAAGCGGAAGCAATATTGGCAAGCAGAGCCATATCCTTCAGAGCCTCCGTGGAACTGTCCCACTCATCGCCCATCTTCCCCAGGACGTCGTAGAAAAGCGGTATAAATGACAAGGCATGCACCAGTGCCATGGCGGAGTGATCGGATATAAGGTAAAACTCTATATTGGCTAGCGGCAGCGGTATCACCTCCAGAATGCTGGCCGAGAATATGAATGCACGTCCGCATTCGTCCTCCTCTTCGTAATATGCCCGCACTAAGCCCAGCAGTCCGTGAGCCAGGCTAAAGGATGCCGCCAGATAGCCGTATGGATTCTCGGCGGGTGCCAGGGTATAAAATGCGTATACGCAGGCCGCAATGAGCAGCAAGTTTGTTACGGCGGATATATAGTGCATTTTGAATTTGTTCGATTCGAACTACTTAAAACAAAAAGGCGAGACGCAAAAGTAGCTTATTGGGAATCAGAATCCGAAAAAATATAATTTGAATGCTGCTGTTAGCTTGACTTTTAGGTTTGGAATGACCAAATCAAACGGCAGTTATAGATAGTATAATGACAGTGAAGTCAAGGAATGACAGTGAAATCTAGAATAAAGTTTTGTAACTTAACCATATGTACATTTTAATTAAATATGTTAAATTCTTATTTAATATATAAGTTACTTTATACTTCACACAAAGGACAATCGCATCCGTTAGGTTTAGTATTGCATCAAGGACAAAATGGGTGCCCGGACTACGACTATACAACCCTGATCTGATATACCCCTGGGCTATTAAAGAATATTTAAATGAAAACTTAGCGATCTCAGCTGTAATGCAGACACGACAGAACAAAATCGTTGCCAAAACTTTTAGTTTGAAGAGGAGAATGTTATGCAACAATGCCAACCTCCACAAGTCGAGGGACCTCGTAGTTTGGCCAGTCGTCGTGGAAATCTCGATTTATTATTGAAGTCTTGTTTAGGGCAGATCACCCATTCGGAGTATATTAACCAAATGCATAAGTACTAGAAGGTTTTGCCATTGTTCTTTTTTGAGCCATTGTTCCGTGAGTTTTGCGTGGACTTCTTTTTACGCTTGTCCGACGACCAGTCCACGTCGTCCTCGTCGTCTGTTCCACCGGTATTACCACCAGAGTGCAGATGAGCTGTGGTGGCACCCTCCTTGGTGGCCAGGCGACGAGACGCAATCCGAGACGAAATGCGGCCCATGCCCATGCACTTTTCGAGGTGCGGAGCGAAGCGGGCAGCGGCCACCGGACGATCACAGTTGGGGCAGGTGCAGTCCATCGGTTTCTTGGCAGTCGAAATGCCGAATATGTCTAGATTGGGCATCTCGCAGATGCGGTACGTGGAGTCTTCTGGCACTCCGTCCAGGGCCGCCAGATTCCCAGTTTTACGCAAATGATGTGTTTCAATGAAGATCCCCGCCACGGCGTCGTCGAGAAGTGTTTGATATAAGTAATTGACCGCTTCGTCCAAGTTCTTCGGCTCTTGATGAGCTCCCGGAAGTTGTTCACTATGTGGTACTGGTAGTTGCTGGATTTTGATTTCCCGATCCCTGAGCACCTTGCGTTGTCGGCATGTTGGGTGCACTCGCTGACATACTAGTTGGGCCAAACAATGGGATTAACTTTAAACACTTTACAAAATTTGTTTACCGCCGGTACCTAGTTCTGGGAAACAACGATAACAGCGATAAATAGATACAATTCTCACGCTCTAACGACTCTATCAATACATCGATATTCTTACTTCCTGACTGCCATCGATATAATGAAAATGACTGGTCACGAAGATACCCTTGTTTTCAATTCGTAACCTAGATCTGGAAAAATAACATTAACAAAGCGATATGAGACACAATTCAACGACTCTATCGATATATCGATATTTTAACTTCTTGAATTTCCATCGGGATAATGGAAATGCCCAACCTGGCCACACTTATACCATGGTTTTCAATTTGTAAACAAATTACATTTGCAAAAATAGACATAAATATATATAAAATGTTGCTTAACAAGAAGACTTAATGTACAAACAGCTGGTGGAGAAACTGTATGACAAGTGCCAAGGATACAGGCGGAAAATGAGCGCTGTGTGATGAGGTCAGAGCTACAACAATGCCAGTGATTATTTAAAAACTAAACATGTGTTATCCCCAGGGTAAATGGCATAAAGAAGATCGTGAAGCGTCGCAATCACGATGTGGAGCTGCTTAAGAAGCGACTGGACAAGCACGGCGACAATTGGCGATCCGTTCCATGGTGGCGCCTCATCCCAAGGGCAAAACGGAACAGAAACGTCGCGGACCCAAACCCAAAAACAAATCGGCCACGGACGGAGGAATAGGAGCAGCCACCACGGGATCCGGACAAGGGACCAATTCTCCAGCTGTGCGCAAGCCACGGAAACAGCGGGCGAAATTACAGCGCCTGCGACAAATCTCAGTGCGACTGTTCCACAAACCCAAATAGGGACCTGATATTTAGGCATTAACACTGGAATTTTTTTAAGGCTAATAGTACATTTACAACTTTATTAAGGCAAAATATAAACCAAAAACTCTTTAATAATGTGCTTTAAGCGAGAATTCAAAACCTGCAGAGATTCGAAAGAAGCTAAGCCCTCTATATGGGCCTTAAGTTTCCCAACTTTACATGTACTTCTTAAAAAGCGGAGCATTCTTAATCACTGGCTGTTTTAACTTATTTATATTTTTTGGGTATTACTTAATTGCTATAACATAGAAATTCAACGGGCAGATGGGGATTCGTGTTTTATTCGGCCTGACGGAGGCGCGCCAGGCGCTGGGTGAGCTCATCCTGCTCTTGGGACACAGCCGTCGATGCGCCGATTGTCTGGCTCTGGACACCGCTGGGCAATTCCATATTAAGCTCCAGACCAGCTTCGTCGGCCACTTGTTGGAGCAGATTGTCAACATCGCCTTGGGGCACCGAGGTGGTCACGGTGTCCGACATGGTGCCCTCCATCACGGAGCTCTGGACGTCCAGGTCCTCGAACTGTGACTCGAATTTCTCCATCAGCGAGGAGATTTTCTCCAGATTCATGCCCTTCATTGCTGCGTCCATAGCCTTAACCACGCCGGCCATTGAGCCGGTGACCTTACGAGTGGTTAGCGCTGACTGCACCCTACTGGCCACTGCATCCACGCGAGCACTCATCCTGAGATAGTTGACCGCCTGGTTCTTCTGGCGAATGGCGTTCTCTGCATGGATGCGGGCCACGTCCATGTTGCCCTTTTGGATGGCTTTCTTGGCCTTGGCCTTCTCCAGCTTCTCCTCTTTCTCGCATTTTTTCGAGTTGCGTTCCAGCTCCTTAACAGCAAATTTTAGATTGAAAAGGTGTTCTGGAACAAGGGGAAAAATAGGTGTGTGGGGTTTTCCAGTCTGGCGGCATCGCTTTCAGCTCCACTTACTTTCCATTGAACTCGTAGACATGTCGTTACCCAGCTTGACGAATTTCCTTAGCGAATGAAGAATAAAAGAGTCTGGCAGTTGGATTTTAACTTCAACTGGGATTTTTATCAATTTACGTTGTTTTTTTTGTCGAATGAATCACGACCAGTGTTGTTGTTTTATGTTATAAAAATATATCGATATATATTTATATCGCGATAGTATTAATGTTTTGAAAATCTTGCTGTTATTTAACATTTTACGTTTTACACGTCTATAAAATCATTTTACACGTAGAAGATAAAATGCATTAACATATCCGCTCTCATCAGGCAGAAAGTATTTGTTGATATTTTGTTTATGGTCAATCTGAATTCCAAAGCTGGTGTTGAACATTTTACATCTTACACGTCTGTAAAGCCATTTTTACGTTTTCGCCTTTGGGGTTGAATTCATGTATTCATGCATGTATTAAGTAAAACTCATTAACAGATAAACAAATTAACAGTTGGCTGTTACCCCGTTTAGCTTTTTTATCGTCAGATTTGGCTACATTTGTGGCGGCAATTCAAGTTGTGAACCTTATTAGGCGCCAAAGTTGGTGGCGTTAAAAAGTTTATATTTCAAATTTATGTTTTACTTACTTATATAGAAATTTTTATCTGACTTTATCGTATATATTCTTATGCTTCTTTTTATTTATTTTAATATCCCACATCGGTAAATTTAAACTGAAGTGGAATATTGGGCATGTAGAGAAACGTGGATCTGAAGGCCTTTTCGGTGGGGTAATTATATTCTATGTGGAAATTTCGTACCACATTGGCCACGGTCAGTTCCAGCTCGAGATCCACTATCCGTTTTCCCACGCACATGCGAGGTCCAAAGCCAAAGGGCAGGTAAACAAAAGGATTCTTCATGGGGGCCTCCGAACTGTCCTCGCCGGCATCCTTAGTGCGCAGCCAACGCTCCGGCAGGAATTCTTCTGGCCGTGGATAGAAGCGCTCATCCTTCAGCAGAAAAATGTTGGTCAACATGAAGGGCGTGCCCTTGGGGATGCGATATCCGTTCAACACCACATCAGCTCCGGCGGATCGGGCATTTCCAAAGGTAACCGGATACACCCGCAGCGATTCCTTGATGCAGGCCCTCAGATATGGCAGAGATTTCATATCCTCCAGCGTAAATTCCTTATCTGGCGAAGGCAGCTTGGATAACAGTTCCTCCCTGAGCTTCTGTTGCTTCTCCGGATTCTTGGCCAGATTCAGCATTAGTCCAACCAAGGCCGTAGTTGTGGTTTCCACTCCGCCCATTAGCAGATCCATGGCCATGACAATAGCGAACTTTCTATCAACCTGCAGCAACTGCTCGAGAATGCTCTTGTTCCCTTTGGAGTCTGCTTTCTCCGATTTCGCTTCGATTCGTTCTATAGCCTCGTTTATGTACAACGAGCAGGTGTCGAAGATCCCGTCGAAGGCCCGGCTAAACTTTCTGTAAGTGGGCGTTGAAATATACTTGTATATAGAGGGCTTGAGGCCAAGTTCAAAAAACGATTCCATTACTATTGTAATGTCCTGAAAGAGTTTCGCGGCTTCAGCCGGCTGATTGGTTGCCCTAAGGAGTCCCAGTTCCTTGTCCAGGGCCAACGTGGCCACCGACTCGAAGGTCAACTGGTTAATAGTTTGCACAAAGTTGGCCGGTACCTCCGACGATTCCCTATCGCGCAGCTCTCGAATGCGTTGGATGAACTGGCGATTGACACGTTGCATCGGCTCCAGATAGACTGCCACATTGCGGTGCTGCATGAGGACGGGATTTGCGGCACTTCTCATCGTACCCCATTGAGGGCCACTAAAAATTTCATAAATTTGTAGAACCTATTTCAGATTAACTACGGCATTTTTGAGAATTTACTTGCTGAACAATCCCACGCAGTCTTTGAAAAAACCATCAGGTCGGTTCTCGCGGTAGTGAAGAACGGGCTCGGCGCCACCTCTCACGGGCCACTGACCCTCGGTCCGATAGATCTTTTCGAAGGTCTCCGCATTGAAGGCGAACACCGTGGAGGGCATGCCAAAGAGTCCGGGGATCATGCAGATGTCGCCAAACTGTTTCCTGTACAGATGCATCATCTCTTCCATACCCAGATTGTGGTACTGGCCGCCCCTTTGGTAGTCACGAAACAATTGCCATCTCGTTGGACCGGGGAGTTCAGTAAAGGGTTTCGCCAACTGCCATTCCGATTCCAGTTGTTGAACCTGATCCGGATTTCTGGCAGCAGCCAACTGGGAGCTCGTCCTCAAACCGTTCTTCACAGTACGACGTAGCATTGTGGAGTTCACTCGGCAGAATGATTTTCAGAAAAGTAAACTGATTGTTTATACGAATTGTTTAGCTTTTAAATAATTGCACAAGTCTTGGCAACAACTAAAAGAGCTTTTCACTGCGTTATCTTTCGAGCTTTTTAAAAGTGTATTCTAGAGATCGCTGAAGAGCATTTTGTTGGTTATCAATTTCTAAACAGTTTGTTATTGCTGTTTTTTATTTATTTGTTGATAACCAGTTAGCCTTGAAAGATGAACTTCGAATGATACCGGTTTTTATTATTGATTATTATTTTTAGTATCAAAAGATCGAATCTGTAAATTAGCGTAAAGCATTTCGATTGTGTATTAAAATACATACAACAAACACATTTCAGTAATTCATTTGCCCTTCTAAAAACATAATCTATTTCTAATTAATTGGCCAAAATCATTCTCTTAAAACCTCTTAAAATCGATCCAGATTATTCTCGGGAGTTAGCAAAATAATCAAAACTGGCAAATGGAAATTGCTGCGGTCCTCTGTTTAGCGGATTAAAGGGGCCGAAATTATGTTTCCCCGTTGCCAGGGGGGTTTCCCAATTTCACAGCAATGTAATACGGACTCGACGCCACTGTGCCCTACCAGCTATCAATAATATATGGGTCTCAAACGCTTGCATTGGAGCACAAAGGACAAAAGCGAAACGCATTTTATGTGCATTTCAAAAACAATAAACCAAAACAAAAGGGCCAAATCGGCCGAGCACACAGACAAACACAAACACACTCCCTACCGGTGGGCTGAGGCCACAACAAAGGGGCGCGGGAGCTGGCCGGCCCATTGTTTTGACCAACTTTGTGGAGTCCCAACTCCCTACTCCCAAAGCCAAACCCAACTGACCACCAGAATGTATTACATATTAAGTCTGATAACACGTTGCCGGCTTAAATTATAGCCGAGGCCCGTTATGGCCACAACCACGCCCACTAGAAAAGGGGGGAGGAGGCTAAACTGAACACTGAAAGCCGAAACTGCAATTTGCCTCGACTGGCACACATCCAAGGTAGCAAGGTAGTTGTTCAGCATGAAAGTTATCTGCTTATGTATTGTTAAATTGAATTAAATTAAATTAAGCATTTTATCAGCATTAAATTAGGTGTTTTAAATCACTTTTTAAGCTTTATTTATACGAAAGAGAATACGAAGCACTTTTTCTGTGAGAGCTATATTTTAAGTAAGATAAAACTCTTTTGCTCATTTATATTTAACAAATCACAAAATTATTTACCTACTCAAGTATACGTATATGTTCGCCTTTAATGCCGCTTTATAATAAAGTATTCAGGTGGAAAAAAATGCAAATTATAAGCCCACAGTAAGCAAAGTAACCACCCCTAAGCATGTTGATATAAATTGTACACAAATTACACAATCGCCGCCAAACAAGCCGCAAAACTTTGCCAAATTAACTGTGACTGTGTTCGCCCCGAAACACATAAAAAAGTTTCCACATAAATTGTTGTAAAATATTATAAATATTGTTTGGACCACGCAAGGTGGTGGTCAGTCCAACAAAATAAAATATACATATTTATTGGGATATATGCATATATATATATATAAGCCGAGGATTATGGGCGTGTCGCCTAGTGACAATAGAAAGGTATTATCTATAACAATGGTATTGTATTTTTATGATTTACAGCACATATAGTTGGGAATAAAACTTATTTCGGGGGTTATTATTAGATTGTAGTCTACATCCAATCCATTTAATGTTTAATCTAGCACCAAAAGTTAGCCGTTTAAAGACCTTAACTTGGTCCAAATCGATGTCGGACCACTCGAAGGGTTTGCATTAATTTGCAATAACTCTTCCATTTGCCAGTCATAATCGAAATCTAGCCAAACTGTCACTTGAGTGGAAATGCTTTGACATTATCATAACTGCATCAGATGTTCAATAATTTTCCCCTCCCTTCCTGCCTGCACTCTGCAAATGGAATCTGCCATGAAGACACCTAGAGACCAAAGGCAAACAGCCGGATTTCTTTCGTCATTCCTTATTTTTTACTTTTGTCATTTTATTATTATTTTTTTGCAGACTTTCAGCTCCCTCTTTTCTTGCTCTTTATCACGCGCCCAATTTAGCGCCGGGTGGGGCTGTGGGTGGCACGTCTGAGCTATCCAGATCCCACAATCGGAGCCCAGACAGCCCCAAACCTCGCCCACTTGCCACCCACTTTGCAGCCCGCTCACAGCCAAAGGCAACGAAAGATTAAATCAGCGCAAAGTGCAAACACTGTGTCAAGTGTAGACCAAGCGCCAGGACCTGGCCAAAGACACACGCCACCGTTGGGCCATCGATAGGGCCATGCTTGTTGGCGGAAAAGAACCAAAGCCCGATCCAATCCGATCCGATCCGACACACACTCACAAAATAAAACGGATAAATGTCAATCAAATTAACTGGCTATGCGATATGCAGCGATAGTGTGAGCAGGTGGGAGAAATGTACTCCCTTCCTCGTTTCCTGCCAAAGGAGCAGGAGCATGGTCATAAATTAGTGCCTCAAGTCCTTTTGGGGGCCGAAAGAGGAGTTTCTTGGGATTGAATGGGACTCACAGTGATTGCTACAATTTCATGTGAACTAAATTGAATAGTGAGTGAGCTTGAGACAGTTCAATTGCATAAGTAAAGTATAGTTTAGAATGTAGTACCTATACTTTAAGTAAGTGAAGGAAATTCTTTGAAAATGTTGAGATAATTATTTATAATTAATTTTTAAAGTATATTGAAGGTTAAAGTGATGTTTAGTAACTCAGATATTATTAATAGTACAAAAAATTAATTAAAATATTTTAAAATATTTTATGATGATCTGAGTATGATATCTCATAGTTTTTTCGTTTTTTTGTATCAACCCATAACCATATATCCAGATTACATCTCGAAAATTTAGTTTAGGATAATAAAACCAAAGAGGATTACACTCCGGAAGTCCCTTACACCAACCATCTGTATTTAAGTTACTAATTAAGACAACAAGTGGAAAAAATCAACATGAAGAACGCGAGGCAAACATTAATTATTGCAGTTTTTCTATTTGCATATACATACTATGCTTCGCTGTTTGTGCGGAACTAAAGGCAAACAAATGTGGAAAACACTGAGTAATTAAGTTGCATATCAGAGAATGAATAAAAGAGAAAACTTTGTGAAATGTCTGTAAACAGGAAATGGGGATGCCCCTGCACTTCACCCGCTGCTTTCTATGATCATTTTTTTCCGCATTTTAAACGCTTGCCAAGGAGCAGCTTGGGGCAACAATTTAAGGCGCATTAACTGCAGGCAACAGGAAACCATTTCCGATATTCCTCTGATAATTACAAACAGACAGTGGTGGAGGAGAGTCAATAGGATACCGCTCTTACCGCCCGACAACCGCCTCTGTCAGTCATCAATCGGCCCCTCCATCTGATGACATGGTTGCCGCCCTTGGGTAACGCCCACTACCCCTCCCTCCGGGCTAACCATAAACCATCGATTGTGGGTCAAATTGGGTTGAAGCGACATGGAATTCTCGGATTCTTGGGCCTCTGCCCTCCGGATGACAGTCAACAATCGGAGCAGCATCGCCATTACTGGCATAAACCACGCGTATTTACTGCGCAGCGGTTAATCAAATGTTTGACTTAAACTCCCTCTGTTTGCCATTAAACAAAGAGCATACCATCCGCTTGATTTAATATAGTTCTAGTAGAGGATATAATAATATATTATATATAAAACTATATATCTTAAATATTAATCTAAGGTGTATTAAAAGCTTGCTATAATCTTAAGTTGAATCCAAGGATTTCTTCTGAAACTATGTACATAGAATACGTTATCCCTTCTCTATAGCATTTTTCCATCTGCCTAATATCCTTTCTTCATTCCCTTCCACAATAACTAATTCATTTAGTTGCACTAGCTAATTTTCCTCCCAATTTTTGTGTCAAATGTACGGGTGTCCTCGGCAATTAGCCAAGCTCCTGCTGAGAAGGATCTAGGCTTAAAACGGCTGCCCAACATCCACCTTAACCTGCTCCAGATGCACTGCAACCGGAGCACTTTGAATTTTAAGGGAAAGGAGGAGCAAAAGGCCCTGCACGGCACGACATAGTTACATTAAACTTTCGACGATAACGCGCCAAACTTTGCGCCCGGCGAAACTCTCAGTAATTTGCAGGAAGTCGGAGCACTAGCATTCCCTCCCCGTTCTGGCCATAAGTTAGGCCCGGCACTAATCAAGCGCTGCATACCAGACCACGCAAAGGACGGGCGAATGCCCCACTGAGGCATTTATTAATAACGCCAACTTTAAATAACCCGCCAGAACTTAAGGCAGGACCTAGGCCCTGCAAAACGGCAATGGAAGTCCTGCTCTCCATGCTGCAGGTCCTGCGCTCGCTGCGGTTGCCTGATAATTGCGCATACGCCATGTTGGCGGTGCTGCATGCCCCGGCTGGGCATTTTCCGAATATCCCAAATTCTGCGGGAATAGTGTGCTCCTTTCGGCACTACGGATATCCTGATCGCCTTTACCCGACAAGAACTATGGTTAATTGTTGATATTTATGGCTGAGATTTAGATTTTAAAGGTTTCCTAAATTGGAGTCCAAGAAAGCTATTCAAAATTATTTATTTAAGGAGAAGAGGATTGTGAGGAAACTTATAAGAACAATATTATAAGGTTCCCACAAATATACAAGTTTAAATAAAGCCAATCTATACTTTAGGCTAATTTACATTTACTTAACTTTTAAGAATCATATTTATCCAAAAGGTATTCCCTATTTAACCTTAAGAGCGCATTCCCTCAAAGTGTTAACTTGTTTCCGTTTTGTGAGAAGAGTTTACTTGGCCAACTGCAGTGAATTCGCAGCTGTTTGAATTGGTTTTATTTTTTTTGTATTGTTATTATTATTACGGCACATGTTGCCCAAATGGTTGTGCAGGCCAAAAAGCTGGCCTTGTTCGGACCAAGGGCCAACTTGGCTCGACGGCACTATCAATCTTTTGCCATGTTTTTTCATTACTTTTTAGTTTTTTTTTTGTTTTTGTATTATTTTGAGTGTGTGTGTGAGTGTTTTTTTTCTTTTTGCTGGCATCTGCCATGTTGCATTATCGTAAAAAGGAATTTGAAATTTTCGTAGCACTTTGCGGCACCTCTGGCCGCTTCGATTCGTGACTGAATTTTGGGCAATGGCCTTTGAGTGACTCCTGCGATGACTACCACTACTTTGATTGTTGCAACAGGAAACTATGTTATACTGGATTCCCCTCCCCTGAACATCTACTGCAGGGTCATTTGCACCACCACCTGTGATCCCTGTCGGCAGTTGTCCGTTGTTGATATTTGGCCAAAAACATTTCTCAAAAGAGTTCAACACGAAAATTGGCCAAAAAGGAGAGAACGACCGACCAGACAAGCCACAAAAAAGAGAAGCTGAAAGAAAAAACGAGTGAAAGTATGCAGGAAAAACTTGATAGAATCTTCCCGCCGCCTTTGTCACACTTTCCTTGGCCCAACCCCCCCACCCATTTTCCCCACCCTGCTTTCCATCGACAGAGTTTGCCAAGTTTGTCGGCTTGCAGCTGCATTACATGTGGTTGGCGTGAAGCGGCATCGACAGCCGTTGCAAGCCCTTGTTTGTTGTGCTTGGTGAAAGTTTTTCCATCGGACGTAATCGGAGGGAGTGAAGGAAGGGAGCTGATGGGGCTTAGCTGGGTCTTGTGGCAAAAGATATCCTGCAGTGTCTTTGCAGACTGTTGCATGCGCTGCTCCAGCAAAAAGCACCCAAAAATTGGGAATATTTTTAAATGGTTTTTACCAAGGTTTTCTTAAATTTCAAAAGTTTGAAGGAGAATATTACCTTGCTTAAAATATTATTTATAGTAATTACATTAAAAGCAGAGGGGTGTGAGTATTTAAGAAACTAAAAGAGCAAAGATAGCCAACAAAACTTTTGGTAAGCTAATAAAGAAAGATAGCTATATGTTATTAATGGTATTATATTACTATAAATGTATAATATACTTGATATGTTTATTATTTATGGGTAAAAATAATTTGTAATATTTTTATGCTTTCCCAAAGTTTTCCTTCAACATCTACCTCTCCTAAATGAAGAATCAAGCCAAGATGCAAACACATCCGGTTAGATTCCGACTTCCCTTCATCGGTTGTCTACAGAATGGCCTAAACAACTCGAATATGCAATTTTCTCCGAGTACCAACTTTTTGCAGCCTCTCTCAGCCAGTCCTGCAAAACTTTTCTAATAACCTAAGATACTTGCAAACAGACACGCAGACAGGCGGGGTGTATTTTTCGGGGACCGACAAAATGGAATAATATGTGCTACCAAAAAAGAGAAAAGAAACTTCAGGCCAAGAAGCTGAGCATCGATGTTGAGGCATATCAAATTGACGTGTTATTTCAGAAAAAACTTTCACGGAGCTTCAGCATTAAATTTGCAAAAAGTAAACTCTCAGGGAGAGTTAGATGGAGTGCATATGTGATATATTACTTCACATTACGCGCAAATTGAAAAGCTCGATAAAATGAGAAAATAAGTAAAGAACAATTGCCGGCACAGGGCATAAGGGGAGGGTAGTGGGGGTAAAATTATATATTCGATAGTGCGAAAGGAAACTTGAGTTTAACTGCCACTCTGCCATAGTTACGACAAACTGTAAAATGAGATATATATATATGCAAGGACTCAGCGGCGTCCCTTATTGTGTTAGTTTATTTGTGCAGTAGAAATTTATGAATCCATTTTTTAGTGCTCGACCATAAAAATTCAAATAAATAAATTGGCGCGGCAAAAAGTGTTCTATTTTTTTGCAATGCAATTTATCCCGATATGCAATGAAATTGCAGGCTGTTAAATAAATGGCGAATTGATTGATTGAGCACTTGATTGATTGGCATTGGGCTGTCGACGCCTAATGAGGAAACCATTTGCTGCCCTGAAAAGTATGCTATAAATACGCCGCAGCTGGTTAATCTTTTAGTGGCATTTGGGGAATTACATCGGTATTTTTGTGTTTGTTTTATATAGATTTATATAGATTTAACATTTAATTTATGGACTATATTTGTGAATGGAAATCAATATAATTTTGTTGCATAAAAGTAACCTAGATTAAGAGGGTTTTTATGATCCATCGAATTGAAAAGGGGTCAAATGAAAAGACATTTACACAGTAGTTATATTAAGTCATATATGTATATAAAGTTGACTATATATACTTGATAAGTTTGTGAAATATTTAAAACATAGGTTCTTATAAATACATAATAGTTAAAAAACCCATTCCATCAAAGTCATCATATCTCTTTCTGAGACATTTAACTATTGTCCATGAACATTTACCTCGAATCTGTCAGTGAGTTTCCCCTTTCTCCCCAAAAATGTAACTTTTCCGCAGTTCCGTCTCTAATATGGCCAAAAAGTTGCATCAAATTCTGCGAGCTGCACACACTTGCATCAAGGGACTGATGCCTAATGGCCGTGATAATGCCATGACAACTGTGCGAGCATCGCTGGAGCCCTCCTCACCCAAAAAAAAGTTCTGCAGTCAAAGCCACGAAACTATGCCAAATTACTCAACGAGGTTGCAACTTGCAACACCTGCAACCTGGGAGGAGCTGGCTCAATTAGTTCGAACTTCTGGCCAGCAATTAGAGGACGTCGAGTGCCCATGTTAATGGCCGGAACTTAGAAGGACACATGCCACATGGGACTCGACAGTGGACCCAAAAGACGGAATCCATCTGGAATTCGCTAGCAAAGTAGCAAAAAAAAAGAAACACAAAGAAAACTGCATTCCTATTACCAGCTAAAGTGTTTTCTGTGAGTTATTAGTCAAATCACAACACAATATATATTTAAACAATATTAAACATAATGGAGTTAGCAATAATTTCCATCACTGGTCTCTAGTTAAATGCAGTTTCCATTTAGGCCAAATTCACGTTATACCTCATACTTATCAAACTTACCAAAGATAGATTGATGGACACACGAACAGAACGAACAGCAAGCTGGCGAAACAAGATTCCAATGGTCAAAATACCGAACTAAAGTGAGTCTGTCAAAACGTCCATAATATGTATGTGCTTGTACTGATGGCAAAGATTTTTAAATTCCAGAATATATTCCCGTTGGTGGAGTGGAGGAGTGGCAGGCGCCATTTCGCAGGCGGCAACGGCTCCATTGGATCTGTTGGAGTCGCGCATGGTGGCCATCAAAAAGGAAATAGGTCTTGTGCACAGTTTGCGGCGAGCTGTCCGGCAAAATGGTAACTATTTTCTGCTAAATAAATCTAAATCTAAATCTAAAACGTTTTCTGTAAGGGTTTTTGTCCCTCTACGATGGTTTAAGTGCCCAAATTCTGAGGCAGTTGACCTATACAACGCTGCGGTTTCATCTCTACGAGTTGGGCAAAAAGCATGTAGACGATTGCAGTTTTCTGGTGAAATTAAGCATTGCCACTCTAGCGGGATGTTTGGCAGGCGTAGTGGGGATACCCATGGAGGTGGTCAATACCCGAATGCAGGTGGATCGAGCTTTGCCCCAAGATCGGCGCAGAAATTACCATAATGTCTTCCATGGCCTTTACAGTGTGGCCACCAAAGAGGGTTACAAGGCGCTCTACAGCAGCTTTATGCTCACCTGCTTGCGAGCGTCCTTTACCACCATCGGTCAGAGTGCGATCTATGATCAGGTGAAAGATATCCAATTTTACAACAAACTCTAAGTCTTATTAAAGCTTTGTTTGTGCAGGCCAAGAGCACTTCATGCAGCACTTTGACATCAAGGATGATAGCACATATCTGCATTTAATCAGTTCCGTGACAGCTGTTTGTGTCTTTGGACCCGTAATTCAACCCGTGGAAACATACGGACTATTAAGATGGTGAATAACCTTGATCTGAAGGATTCCATAGCCTACTTAAGGCGCTTTGGTCCACTCGGACCATTCCGTGGAATGGTGCCATCCATGCTCCGACTGGGACCCAACACGATTATAACACTTTTGGTCTACGAGAAGATTCGGGTTAAATTTGGATACTATGGGACGGCCGTCAAGGGCTGTAGTGTGTAAGACGTGTGTGTGTATGCATTTAGATTCTAATTTAAAATTTCTCAATTGCTTTTTGGGGATATTAGAATTTGTAAAAGAAAATACCTCCCAAAGATATGTCAAAATAATATATATATACTCTCTGTCATGTTTCCTTGCAACTATTTTATCTACTGGATATTAGAATCAGGTTAGTCCTAAGTCAAGTAAAACCCCTAAGCTAATGGCTAAGCAAGCTTTTAACTATTTAACCACGACATACCCAGATTATTCAAACACTTTCATTGCCACCCACTTGCTTCCACCTGTGACCTCAATGTGGCAACCAGTGGCCAGTGCTCAAATAATTGGTCACTTCCTGACTCCTGACTTCTGACCTCCTCTGCCTCTCTGGTTTATATTTGTAAAACAATCTCGGCCAGGGCAAGCTCAAATAAACGGGGCTTGTGTGTAGTGCCTAGTGCCTTCATAAAGCATTCAATTCCACATTGATTGCACACAGAAGCCACACCGCACCGAAAACGGGTCAACAGTGCGTATGCGTTATATTTAATAATGCACAACGTTGCTAGCTAGCCACGATGACGACCACGACTACGACCGAAAAACGGCTGCATAAATTCAAGCTATGCAAATGGTTTTAATGGCAAACAAAGTGTGCTAGCCAAGCGACTAATAACCACTCGAGCGACATAGAAAATAACGCAGCCCGGACGACCTCTGGCCACCACTACCCCATAGCCTTGTCTTCCACCCACCAGAAGAGGACGAGAACTCATCGTCGATGCAATCGCAAGTCAGTCATAAACTTGGCCCTAAGCATTTATGCAAAACGTGAGAGCCACGACCAAGAGTCCATGGCGTAGATACACTCAAAAGAAGGGTATGGGTTTCTTTAAAGAGTTTCTATAAAATCAATCAACATAAATATTTTATTTTCGATATTCTATAACATTATCCTAATAGTTGAGAAACAATTGTTTACCTATTTATGTATTTCTTGAGTGCAGAGATGGTTTCCCAGACATCTTAAGTCCTTAAATTATCTTGCTATATATTTTTTAATATTTTTCTGTACTTCCTTAAATTCTGTACGAATTCAATATAAGTTATATACTGATTTTCAGCCTTTTCACCATTTTCCTCTATGTACGCTATCTCTAAGTGCGATTTGAGTCTTTCATGGAGTTAGGGCAAACCTTAGGGCTCTAATTCAGTTTCATTGCGTCGCATTATTCTTATTTTTCCGCGTTCTCTGCGTCCTAAAATTGCCTACTTACAAATTCAATTTCCACAATGATTGCAATCACGATTAAAGGGTAGTCGGACAGTGGGTGTGTGTGCCCCATATGGTTCCTATACTCAACCCCCAACGACAATGCCGTTCTATACGTGCAACATTTACCGTCGTTTACGTGACACGACACCCACACACAGAATGGCGCTGGGATGGATTGTTAGTGGTAGTACGTTATGGCGGATTCCGCCATCGCTGTCTGGGCATTGTTGCTCATACGCCTAGTTGTCATCGTGCCGGCATCTAAACTAGAACTATACACACAGCACGTGCTGGCATTTAGCCCCAACTTTGCAAAGGCACAACTGCGTCCCTTTGCCATGTCAAGGAGTTGGACAAATTAATGTTCATTAGTCACGTTGCGAGTTGTAATCAATTTATAATGCGACCAGTTGCGGTTGATGTTTTTCCCTTTAGCCAAAGGGAAGAGATGGGTCAATGGGTCAATGAACGATTGGTAATGATACAGGAAAAAGGGATTTTTTGTTTACTTACTAACACTTGCTGTTTAATTGGATAAACTTCATTAAAAGTCTTTAGAAAATACTTCTTTATACACAAAACATAACTTGAAAGCTGACTTGACTTTACCATCTAAGCCACACATTTTCTTTGCTCCCTATTTAGGCTCCAAATCAAGGACCTCATTGTGCTTACTTCGTTGTGCACGTCCTTAGCAGGAGCTAAACTTCAATACCTGCTGCCCGCTGATAGGATACATCAACTCCACTCTCTCTCAGTTTGTCCACACCGCCCATCGAAGGACACAGTGGCAGCTTATAAATCTAAACAAGCTCAGTTTTGCCCAGTTGCATAAGTTTACACTTACAGTCCTGCCACTCTCCTCCTCGTGACTCCTAGCCAGGAGGAGACCTCCCTGCATTCCAGTGGGTCTCCAAACTACATTCCGCCTGCGAAACTTTTCGCTGCGCGGTTTGGTCGTGCGCACACTTTTACGCCTCTGCCTGGGGCACGTACTGAACTTGGCCGCCCCACATCTACCCACACCTGTCCAATCACCTGTGGGGGGTGTGTGCTGGAGCTGGAAGGATGCACCACTTCTTCCCTGGCAGGCATCACCTGCCCTCTGGGCTCCCGCAAAGGTTTCACCGCTCACTCGCTGTCCCAATGACGATGACATAATAAACGAGGTTACCAGCAGCGAACTTGCTCCTCTACTTTGTCCTGCCCCAAAGTTCTCGCTACCAATTCGAGGGCATACTCTTTCAAAGGGTTAAGGGAGCTTACTCCAAGAGTTTGTCTCTCCTCAAATTGTTTTTGAATATCATTTAAAATATCATTAACTCAAAATCAAGAGAACTTTGTTACTCAAAACTATCTTTGTCTAAGTTTCCCTACCTTTACACTATAAAAAATATTAAAGAGTATTCCTTGGTTTATATCTAACCCATCTTTTTTGCACCTTTTTTCCCGTGCTGGCTCTCCAGCTAATGTCGGACATTTGTCGCTGTCCTTGCAACCCATCCTATTTTGCATACTCGACACGCTCTGTTGGACCTCTGCTGTCCGACCTCCCCTCGATTTCCGGCATTTTCCAGCGCCGCCTTCCCCCCTCCAGCAATGTAACAAGAGGAATTGACAAGTTTTTGTCACGTTTTCGGTGGCGTTGAAAATTCGTGCAACTTTTTAGCAACACGCACTTATCAAAAGTGGCTTCGACTTTTGTGCGAAAAGAGTAAATGAGGCGTCTTCAGCGAGGGCAGTGAGGGCATCATCCATTGCACCTGACCAGGCCCAGCTAACTTTTCTAATTAAATTCTACAAAAAATAGAAAACCCACAATACACACACACAGACGTATTGCTTCGTTAGAGGAAGTTGAAAAAGCAGTTGGCAAGTTGACACTCGCTTATCATTTCCGTTTCCGGCATGAAGTAGTGGGACAACCACATGACGACGTCCGTTGTCCCTTTTTTAAACAGTGTATCAGCAGAAGTTCCCGGTACTCTGTTGTTAAGTTCTTTGGTGTTAAATGGAACAGGAAGATGATATATGCGTGGACAGCACTTTACTTTTAAATAAAGGAGAGCTGATTTTTAGTTAAATTAAGTAAGGAAGTTAACTTCGAGAAGCCGAACGAAGGCGTGAAATATTCAATTCCCTAAATGATATTTATCGATAATTTTTGGATAAATCAAATTTAAAAAACTCATAGCTAAGGCAAAATGCATTAATTTCAATTCGGAAAGCTTTTCTGTAATAGTTTTTTAAATGTAAACAAATCTGGATACTCAGTTTTAAAATATAAAAAATTAAATTTTGTTGTAATTTTTTTTTTTGACAATTTTAACGATTTTAATTATAAAAAAATTGTAAAAAAAATTTTATTTCTATTATGGCTAGAAAGATTCGCCTGATAATGCTGATCAAGAATATATATAGTTTATAGGGTCGGAAATGACTCCTTCGTTATGTTTTAAGCTTCTGACTAAAATGAGAACCCCTTTTTTTGGTATAAAAAATAGACCTTACGAAGTCAAAATATTAATACTCTTGATTTGAGTAGAAATTTGTCATCACTTCTGCATTTATTCTATTATTCATTACTTTATTTAATTAAAGTATTTTGTAATGCAGCATTATTTTCTAGTTTCATTATAACCACAACCCAATATAATTTTAATGGATTCTTATAATAATATTTACAAAAATTACAAATTTTCGACAAATCCTATTTTAAAAACTCATAACTCAACTAAAAATGCATTAAATTCAATTCGGAAAGCTGTTCTGTGCTAGTTTTTATCAGGTTAACAAATCTGCATACTTAATTAAACACGTTAAAATTTTCATTTTTTTTTTTCAAATTTTAACCCTTATTATTATTTTTTTTTAATATTTTGACCAACTTTGGAAAAAAAAATATTTTTTTCGGAGTGGTCTAGATCGACGCTGTTTTTTGTGCTGATCAAGAATATATATAATTTCTAAGGTCGGAAATGACTCCTTCGCTAAATAAAATTATAGTACCCTTTATAATGGGATAAATTAAATTTCATCAGTAATCAGTAAAGTTAATCATTAAAAAAATAGAATTTCACAGCAAAGGACAAACTCTTTTTTTTTTACAACTTAAAAGAATGCCAAGCAGAAAACTGGGTATTTAATGGTCGTTTCTGCTCTACGCTCTACTTTCCGTGTCACACTGTGGTATTTATAATGAAAGAGGTGGCAACAAGATGGTGGCGAAAGGAGGAACATTTTAATTGTCAACGCCCGGGAGTGCTTAAGTGGCTCGGGAATGCGATTGCAGCTGGGCAATCATTAATTGGCATTACCGAGGGCGACAAACTCTTTTCCACACCTCGGCCACTGCCTCAGCACTCCCCACATGGCCTGATGAATAGTGCTTAATTGCAATTCATTTGATATTGACACTTTCGAGTGGCTCTTGTCCGGTTTTCTGCTGTTGCCTACTCGAAGACGCGCTCGGCCATGCCAAATTGTCATTGATTAATGTCAGACAGAGAGAGAGTGAGAGTCCGAAGGAGCGGCACCCAAAGTTGGTGCCTCGAGTGGAAAGCAATTAATTTTCTGTATGCACTCGAATGGAAACTGAAGAGTCGCACATACAACTACTAGGATTATAGGGGAATATCCACTATAATCACTAAATAAATAGAGATTTATTGTAGATGAAATCGCACCAAGTTATGATCCTTTAGCGTGTTTAATTTGTGAATCAAATCATATCAGCAAAGTCAGCAAATTATTTTAAATACTCTAAGCTCCAATTATATGCCAAAGGCTCTTGAATACCTACACCCAGCTAGATCAGTTTACCTGGGTTCAAGTGCCAGGACGGCGGGAGTTC